TCCGTATTGCGATGCATACAATTTTACGACTTTTTTATGATGCGCCCATAAAACCAATAATTTTGTACAAGTCGGTGGGACCAAGTCACGTAGGCCACCCAGAACTGAGCGGACCACAACTGGCCCACTCACTTCGATCGGCCCAGACGTTAGCACAGTTCTGGATAAGCAAGGCAAAGCTATACATCGCGAAAAAAAAAAATAAATAAATAAAGCACAGAGATGAAACATTTTCGGACAAGTTCACAGAACCTATAAAAAGTCATAATCTAAAATTTATTGTCGCAAAAAAATAATAAATAACAAAAAGGATTACCGAAACGTGTGGTACGTTTGACGAGAATCAAATCTCCTGGAATGGCAAAAGGGTAAACGGAGACACCTAGGCCTGGGCTATTCCATGTAGCGTCTTTATCGAGCTATCCAGTTTTGTATTACCAACCTGTTAATGTTGATATACAAATTCACAGATCGCCCAGAGATTGAGATACAAGCAAGACGGCATTGAAGATCACTGATAGAAACCGTTAACCGGTTTTATATTTTGGCATTCATAATCCACGGAATCTGATCATTAACAGTGTATGTATAATCAGTGCACAAATTGGCAAAGAGAAAACGCTATAATCTGGGCAGAATTTATATAGTCATCGGACAATGATTTTTGTACTTTATTTATTGACATTCAAAAGAGATGTAATTTAGGTCAATGCTATTAACACATATATTTTTAAAAGTGATTTAAACACAAAAAAATTTAAGAATCTATAAATATGAACTTTATATCTAAGAAATATTTCTTTAATCGTAGTAAGTGATATCGAAACCTTCCGAGAAAACTTTTAATTTATCTTAACAAATTCTATTTTATTATATTAATGTTCCAATTATTAAGGACCAAAGCCTGTAAACGTTATTTCATTATTGGTTTCATTTATAGGGACTCTTATGACCACTTTCAAGTTCGTTTTGCTTATTTACCGCTTGTCCAGGAGATCCCGGAAATACTGCTCCGCATTGGCAGGATGTGCCGAATGCTTAAAAAAGTTATTGTAGTCTGTTGTCGTAGACGTTATCATTTTGGCTTGATTACTCAGATTGATTCTCGAGCACTGCACTTTGGATGTACTTTATTTGCACTTGTCAATGTCCAGTGTCCTTTTTCTGTAATCCAGAATTAGTTAGTGGATTCTTTGTTGGAGAACAAGGGTTCTTTGAGTGACTCCTCTAACAAATCACGCCCAACTGAAGAAAGTTTTGAAACGCCGGCTAGTTTTATGCGAGTGTGAACCCCGGCGGAGAACGAGCGAGAGGGAGAGTCACCGGCTGCTATATCATATATCGCGGTGTAGGGCAAAGCGTAGTTGCACTCGTTTTCGTAGGCAGGTATGAATAATTGCAGATTGCATTTGTTGTGGCCGTTGGGCAGCTGCTAATATTGTTTCTGTACACCTTTTGTTTTCCTTCACTGGCAGATGTTTGTTTTGATTTGCGTGAGTTCTTGCACCGTTAGTCACGTTTGTTTATCGTTCTGGCGGTTGACTTAGCGCAAATGTTAAATATGGAGCTGACACGAACCGCGCTCGAATACGTTCGTTTGCCGAATGAGGGGTATTTTTACTGTAGCCCCAAGCATGAGAGAAAATGAAGTGCCAGTGCTGGCACCTTAGCTACTGTATCGCCATCATGGACATTTTGAAGGTGTAAGTGAAATTTGTTTCTCTACGGGCGGGTTTTCCTGGGAACGTGCTATGAAAATGGCCTGACCTTTTGTTCTAGCAACGTCCTGACGGACAGGAACTTAATTTCCATGGGGAAACCGGTATAAAAACATGTTTTAAAGAAGGATTCAGACAGGTTAACCTCATTAAATTCCACCAAAACTTCCTTTAAAATGCCTAGAAAAAATTAAAATTTGAAAAAGTATCCCTCTGAATGTTCGGGTCTAAACCCCCCTTGAAGTTCGGAACTATAACCCTTCACATAAATTCAGTATTTAAACCACATTTGCGATAGATACTTTTTTAAACAATTTATTTCAGATCAGATTCGTTATTTCTAATGCTAAATACCGCATCACTGGCATCACTATTGAGCATTTCTCTCTTTCTCTATGAGAGAATCGGGGGACTGAGAAAGAAAGAAAAGAAGAAGCAGGCGCTTAAGGCGATAAGCAGCCAAGTGTGAGTAAATAGTAAAAAAAAAAAGCAAAAAGAAATTGAAAACGCAGCGACTGATAAGAATCAAAGCGAAATGGACGTGCAAATTGGGGGGACAACGGCAATCGCTGATGTGAACAGTGACAGGCGTCGCGATTATTCCTTATCAGATCAAATTTGCAAAGCTGCGCGAGACAGAGGAAGATACTCCTTCCGCTTGCCCTTCAAAAACAGAGCAAACATAAAGCAAACACAAAGCAAATGCAAACAGAAAACCAAAAATAGGAGGAAAAGCAGCGAAAAGTCAGAAAAGACAAGCGCAACAATCGTCACGTAGCCCAGCACGCACACCATCACAGGCCCAGCACACGCACAAGCCAGCGCTCTCTCGCACACAAACACCCAGGCAGAAAACCACACGCACATGCGGTAGCCAAGAGCGTTAGAAAAAGACCAGTGCCTGCAAAGGGAGCGCAAGGGGGGGCAAGATATCAAAATTAGTTTGATACAAAATATCTGGTGGGAGAAAAGCTTTGCGAATACCAGCCCCAAGATGAGCTAGAGAACATCGGATCCATGCGGAAGCTATGCGAATGTATGGGCCGCACAATTGGGTCAACGGCCCAGTTCAAAGTCGGAGCAACAAACGTTCGACTACGCACACGCACACCAGTACACTGAAATAAAAGGCAAGGTACTTTTCCAAGTTTCCTCGTCTTCATAAGCTTGTAAAAGTTAATCGGTTTTCTTTAAGAAAAGGCTTAACTTGTTCAAAAGGCTCATTAGATGCGGCAGAAAATCAAATCTCCTTAGCAGATACTTTATCTATTCGTTAAAATAAATAGTTATTTGATAAATACAATTTTGTTATCAAAAAATAAACTTTTCTACTAGACCTACTACCATATTTTTTGAGTGCATTCACTTTTGAACTGGCTATGTGTGACTAACACACACATCCACAATCCATGTCGGTGTGTAATTTAATGATCGATTTTGGCCCTTCGTCTGTGATGTATTACGTGCGACGACTGCGACTGCGGCACGTGTACCACACGCAGCCCTTCCCTGGAAGCGGATGAGCGGGAGGAATACGATGGGGCACGAAGGGAGGAGAGACGGTTGAAGGGGCGCGGCAGTCACAGACGACCTTGATGACGTGCGTCTGCCTACGTAGCGCGATTCTGCTTTGGCTTGCGTTTGCCTTGGTTTGCCGTCTGTTTCGAGATCTATCGTTCGATTCCATCTTGAAGCCTGCTTCAATTGCAGAATTAAAATTATAAAGACAACCAATACCTTCTAGGACAGACAACCAAACGCCCACGAGTATCAAGTACTAATTATTAAATTGAGGTAAACTAACAGGTACTATTTAGAAATTAATGTGGACTTTTTAGTTTACCGGTAAGGTAAAAGAATGTGAATAAACCTTGAAGGCACTTTCGGGGCTATTTTTATACCCTTGCAGGGTATTATAATTTCAGTCAGAAGTTTGCAACGCAGTGAAGGAGACGTTTCCGACCCTATAAAGTATATATATTCTTGATCAGCATTAACATGCGAATCTTTCTAGACATGTCCGGAAGAAATCGATTTTTTGGCCATTTTTGCAAAATTTTATAAGGGGTTACATCATTAAAATTAACAAAAATGGCCAAAAATATTGATTTCTTAACATTTTAAATTTGGTATGCAGTTTTTTTAAATTTATAAAAACTAACACAAAACTGCTTTCCGAATCGAAATTAATGCATTTTTGGCTTAGTTATCATATATTTTAATTGTTACCTGCAAGGGTATACAAACTTTGGCTGGCCAAAGTTAGCTTTCTTTCTTGTTACTACTTAATGTTAAAAAAACACTCTTGTTCCCTACCTACTTTAACGAATAATCAAACGCGTCAGGTGTGCATTTATTTGTAAATTCTGTAGTGCCCGTTGAGAAAGGGATTGGAATTGGGTGAGTCTAAAAGTTCTTTGCTAATAATCTATCCGATAAGTGTAATCGTGAAAATCAAATAATTTGGTCATACCAAACCTTTACTTTAACTATAAACCAAATTCCAGGTATCTTGTAATCAAAGTTTAGATAATCAATCATACAAACGTTTTCTTATAAGAAAAACAAGCGCAGGATAACACATATAAGGTACATAACCAAATACAATAAATTTAGAACACTTTGGTGGCGCCCTTGATGTTTTTAATTTGAATTAATTTGCTAGTTTTGAATGCCATAACACTTTTACCTTCTGGAAAAGTCGAATATTTTGAAATACCCAGGTTTAAACAAGTGACATTTCCATAGAAAGGCGTGGCTTGGCAATAGAATGAATATATTGAAGCAGTTCAGAGATCCAGAGAGTGTAAACGAATTGATATGGGGACTGGGTACTAACCTTTCTTATCAAATATATACAAACATGTGTGTACTAACTACATATATCTGACTTTTTAAAGTCGACGCATCTCGGATAAATGCGGTTTTCGGGCTTTCGTTGATTAGCGAGTTTTGCGCAGCAGTGTTGTTTATTTTTGCCGGATAGTGGTTGACAGGCAAACCAGCGAATTTAGCACATTTATAAACAATGTCGGAATTTTGCAAACCCCAGAAAATGAGATCACGTCGCGCTGACTGCTAATTGTTTGATAAAGAACAACACACATCTCGGGGGCAGATTGAAATCTCAGTCGTTTGGCAATCGCTATAATGCTGATAACACGATTTGGACGACACGCTTGCGTATTCCCGGCACGTACGCAAAACGCTCGGGACCACCCAGGCGAGCGGACCACCCACCTCCCTCTACGAGAGCACCCACTCCTGTTGATAAGAAGGTCGTCGGGGAGCCGGAAACCCTCATCACACTGGTCGGCAAATTATCCATTCGAAGGTAAATAATTTCATTTTACAAATAGAAGAATATGTTGTAATATTGGCTCTAATTTAATGACAATAACTATATAATTATTAATAAATAATAATTGGGTTTTAATCATCTTAAGGTTTTGAAACTATTTGTATTTCAATTTGAAATCTGGTTTGTAAAATGATATAGTCGATCTGAAATTGTAGATTCTTTGTTAAATTACACATTTGTAATATAACATTCAGCATTTACTGTGTCTACGAGTGTTATTGATGATTCAGCCGGATTCGCTGGAAGTCATTACGCCCAACAATTGCGAAAGAATTGCTATATTGTGCCCGCTGAATATTTGTTGTATCTTTTAATGCCGGCGTGTACAACAACAACAAATAAATAAATAAATAAATAAGCGAGTATCAACAATTCGGACGCCAGCGAACTGCGCAACAGAATAATTACAAAGTCAGCGCCGTCTGTCCGGGAAATGCGACTGAGAGTGCGATTGCAGGTGCTAAAGCTATCAGATAGCTGCTGGCGGCCGCCATATGCATTCGATTCCCGGGCACGTAATGCCAAAGGTAAACACTTGGCCGGAGAGGTGACATCTCGCGCTGGAGTGTGAACAATCCAGAGGCAATCTAATCGCGGTTTCCTGCGTTTGCATGCATGTCTTCAACTCTAATGTGATCTAAAATTATTCAATCCTTACTTAAGATATACCTTTAATGATCAAAACAATCGTAAACTTGAATCTTTATTCTATATGACATTTTTACGAGTCCGTGTAGTGTCATGTTTTATTTAGTTTCTTGTCATTTCAGCGAAGCGAGCACGTAACCGCTTATCGCTAATTGCCTCGATATGCAGGTGAGGATCCGTCCGGGCGGGCCGGGGCCTTAAGCGATGAGAATGCACATGTTGTGGCCTAATCTCTGGGCCTACGAATTTCGATTTGTCGCCAAGATGGTTCTACAAATTACAAACGGAATTTCAAGTGCGAGGTGGTTTTAAAATACAATTCGCAGTGAGTCCGTTTAGTCGGATCGTATATTGAATTATCAGGTAAATGTTTAAGGAAGTATTATAGTATAACTGCTGCAAAAGCTGAAAGCCCTAGCAGAATATTTGTCGCAGATTTTCTTCTAACTACGAGTACTATGAATTATATAAAAATTATAATATACCTGAATCAGAAAATGCAGTTAACCTGGAAGATCATGGAGCTTGTTAAAGCCAACTTTCATTCGCCCTAACACAGTTTTCATCTGTGTCCTTGATAACACATAAACATCCATTTCCCTCTTATTATTCCCATCAATCTAAACATTTCATCAAATTAAAACAGACTCAAATGTCATAGACTAACATAAAATAGCTTCTGAACTAGAAAATTCCTTCCGAAACACACACGAGTTTAGCATACAAGTGACTAGCAACCATGGATTACAATCGCCAACCGTGTCCTATAAGGATCGTAGAGGATTGCGGATGCGCCTTTGTGGTGGGCAGCCTTGGAGGGGGCTTGTTTCAGTTTGCCACGGGCTTCCGCAATTCGCCGACCGGTTTGCTGCGCGGCCTGTACGGCGGATTAGATTCGATGAAGATGCGGACACCGGCTATTGCCGGCAGCTTTGCCGTTTGGGGCGCCACCTTCAGCATTGTGGATTGCGCCATGGTCTCACTTCGCCAGCGGGAGGACTCTTGGAATTCGATAGTAAGTGGAGCTGCCACGGGTGGTATATTGGCAGCTCGCAGTGGCATGCGTGCTATGGCCAACAGTGCCTTTGTGGGATGTATTGTTTTGGCCATGATCGAAGGAGCAGGTGCTGCAGTGGCCACCATCTATGCCGCCAATGAAGGTGGAACTATAACCATTAATGACCAGCCGTCGCAGAGAGCTCAATGGGAACCTATCACATACTCATCTGGTCAAGATTTTATAGCAACCGGTTTCGAGCGGGTGCTAGAGAAATGTCGAAAATACAGAGATCGTAATATGACACTGTCGGGATCAGGAGGATGTTTAAGATTGAAGAAGCCATCGCACTCGCTCCTGGATCTAATCAAGATGGCTGAGATTATCTAATATCTATTATATGTTTTTGTGGTGCCGCTTAAAAATTCCTAGCTTTCTGTTGAACTTTTTGATGATTACAACTGATGTCGGCCCCTTCCCAACAATCTGTAATAGTATGAAGTTGCCCAATGATGATTTATAATATTTGGGAAAACAGTTTTTGAAATCAGATATGGACGTATTTTTTTCTACTCATCGAGATATAATGAATAAATATCGAATAACATTTTTAGACTGATAAAAGAGGGTAGTATAATCAATTATTTGGTGAATCAACACAACATAAGAAACAGAAATACTTGCTTCATTTGTTATACTTAATAACTATTATTACTCACCTTCCCGATCCCATGAAACTGGAGTCCGCCAGTCCGATTTGATAGCTGGAGCTCTTCTCGCCCTGATGATGATGGTGGTGTTGGTGCTGTTGCTGTTGTTGATGATGCTGTGGCATTTGGGCCGCGTCCGCTGCCGCCGCTGAGGCTTGTCCAGGCTGCCCGAGGAGATTCAACAGATTGTCCACTTCAGCTGGCCAACTCTGGGCCTGATGGGCGGGCGTCATCATCTGTGCGGTCGAACAGTTGGCGCCAGCGCCATTGCCATCCAAGTTGGCCGCTGCCACCGCTTGCTGTAGTTGCTGTAGCTGCTGTCTCTGCTGTTGATGCTGCTGCGACTTGTTGTTGTTGCCGGCGGCGGCTTTTTGGCGGGCCAGGAGTCGGCACTCCGCCCTGTGGGTGGGCCAGTCCAGGTGCTGATGGGCGGGGGAACAATAGTAGACGGCCTTGCACTTGGCGCAGCGCAACAGCTGCTGCTGGGTGCCGCAGATGGAACAGCGGGGTGTGTCCATGGCTGATTCCGTGTCGGAGTCCCGCGCCCTGACCTTTCCGCGACCCCTGCTCATAGCATTTTGCGGGGAGAACCAGAGGCGACGACCGAACCGACTTTAACCTTGACGGCTCCCTCCTACTCGTTCCACCTACGCACACACACGCGCTCTTGGGAGATTGCGGCTATCAATATTATATCGCGAATTACGGCGTGCAGCTCGTTTTAGCCACCATTTCACTGTTAGTTCGCTTGCGCTTATTTTAATCACGTAGGCCAACTTTGCCAAATAAACAAAAAAAAACATACAACGCACACACACACACGCACGGGCAGCTATATGTGCGTTGTTGTTGGTTTCTGTGGCGATAGCCCTTTGTTTGCGGGTTTCTTTGTGGAACTCTTCACTCCGTGCACCGTACACGGCCTGGCCTTGGGTGTACTTATCGTTTTGTCACCGAAAATTGGCGAAAAATAGTGCAAAAACGGAAAAATCCGAAGCACAAACTTTTTTATGTACTAGCGATGGGCGTCGACCGATAATTAGCTCGATGGCTGTTGACAAGCGTTGTCCAACACTGTCAGCCGGCTCGCAATCGATAAAAAGCGAGCTGTTATGGGTGAAATTTTCGGGGTTTTTCGGATTTTCTAAAAAAATTTTAACGGTACAATCGTTTAAAGAACGTTAATTACATAAAATTGAAGTCCAAAGTTCAATTTAAAATATCAGTGATTCAGGATTTGATAACATTATAATTAAAGACCAATTTATAGTAAATTGTAAGGAATTTTAAACCAAACTAATAATAGATTGTGTCTTTATTTGGATTTAAATAATAAAATATACACACATTTTCTATCTGCAAGTGCACTGTTGCCTTAATTATCGATAGGAAAAATGCCATCTCTATTATCAAACCATAAACAGATGCTGAGCCCTCTACAAACTTCAAATCCCGCGTGAAAACCTATTCCCACTGATAAGCGCCATGACGACGACGGAACGTGTTGCGAAAGTAGTGCTGGTGGACATCGAGGGCACCACCACTTCGATCAGTTTCGTGCACGATGTACTATTTCCGTATGCCAAGGAGAACGTGAATAAATTCCTTCGGGACTCATGGAAAAGCGACGACACCAAGCAGATTGTCCAGGATCTGCAGCAGGTTCCTCAGTTTGCGGATTACAAGGACACTTTGAGTGCCCCTCCAGCGGAACTGGATGCGGAACTCATTACCGGCTTCGTGCGCTATCTGATCGACAAAGATCTCAAGGTGACGCCGATGAAAACGCTCCAAGGCTTAATTTGGGCTCAGGGTTATGCCAGTGGAAAGCTCAAGGGGCAGTAAGTGATCTTACTCAAGTGATAGCATAATAATATTAACGTTATAATTCTATTTTCCAGCGTCTATGAGGACGTCCCAGCAGCCTTTCAGGCCTGGCGAGATGCTGGCCTGCGGATTGGAGTCTACTCCAGCGGCAGCGTAGCCGCCCAAAAGCTGATATTCGGCCACAGCATTGCTGGCGACCTAATGACCCACCTAAGTGCCTACTTCGATACGCATGTGGGTCACAAGCAGGAGCAACAATCTTACGAAAATATAGCAAAATCTTTGGAAGTCGCTCCAGAGCAGATTCTATTTCTTACGGATATTCCCGGAGGTATGAATGTATTAAGCTAATTAGTTCTTGAATTTAAATGTTCATGTGGTTGTATTTAATTTTTTAGAAGCCGCAGCAGCTCGCTCTGCCGGATTGAAAGCCATCTTACTTCAACGCCCTGGAAATGCCCCCTTAACCGACTCTCAAAAAAGCACCTACGAGGTGATCCCGGACTTTAAGCCCCTTTACAACCTTCAACTGCCTTGAATTTAATTCGTTAAGTAATAATAAATAAAAAGGTTTACGAATCTTAACCAAGAACTGAAAAATTAAAGAGTTTGTTACTATGGTTTTGTTCCCCAGAAAGAGTTAACGTGACATCTGGATGTACATATATATATTAAAAACTGTAGATCAACTGTTCATTTTCCGTTATGTCAATATATAAAGCCAGTGGGAATCAGAGTTAAAATTGAAAAACTGATGATGGATTTTTGTTGCGGTGCGTTAAGTTCAGTGTTGGTAAACATTGCCAATAATTCACAAAGCTATCGATAATTTGTACAATGTTTGGTCGTCATCGATATTTCTTACTCCAGAAAAAAACAAACCTATTTCGCCACACAAAAACGCAAAATTACAATTTAAATCCTAATTAGTCCCGTTTTTTGGCACACAAACTGATTTAAAATATGCCTGTGTAATGCTAGAAAACATTTCGTTGTGTGTTATCAAGATAGAAACGGATTTGGAGCCCAGTGCAGGTGAGCCCTGAGCTTTGACTGCGCAAACAAAGAAGGGAATTGACCTGACGCACTAATTTCTCTGCCAGATTCCGAGGGAGCCGTGTCTGTCGAACACCCCACTAACCCGCGCGTGCTTAAGGAGCGGGAACGCGATCGCGGACTGCGCCAGGCCCGCGATATCACCATCGAGACCTATACCAACCAGCGTTGGAACAAGGAGTTGGGTGGTCAGGAGGCGACACAGGTCAGCAAGATGAACTGGGCGGCGGCCGTGCAGCATGTTAACAGCCCCACTGCGGGCAGTTCGCGGGAGACAACACCCCGCAGCGGAGACGAGTCCGGGGGACTGCAAACTGCCTCAAATTTCCCCCAGGAGATCGGCTACTTCTCCGGCAATCCCATCGTCGAGGTGACCAAGGGCCTCATCCATCTTTACAAGAAAAAGCAGGTTTACTAATATTTTATAAAGATCTTTGTGCTAATAGGTGTTTCTTACATTCTTTAGCGAACGCAAGGCCACCAAGGAGGCTCCATCCAACCAGCTCTGCCTGCTGGCCGTGCCCGCCACTCTAAACTGCCACGATCTGCTGAACTTCATAGCTCCCTGCCATGCCGAGATCAAGCACGTCCAGATAGTCCGCGATGGAAGTCCCAACCAGTTTATGGTGCTGCTGGAGTAAGTCATGGATTTCCAACTATACCTAATTAATTATTAACCTAACCCGCTTCTAGATTTCGCTCAAATGAGTCAGCTCTAGAGTTCTACAAGTCCTACAATGGGATTGCCTACAACTCCCTTGAGCCGGATTCGCTGTGCCACGCGGTCTGGGTGTCCGCCGTCGAGCGTGGAGAGCACGAAGCCCCGCCGCTGGGCCACACGGAGCTACCCACTTGCCCCGTCTGTCTGGAACGCATGGACGAGAGTGTTGACGGAGTTTTGACCATTTTGTGCAACCATGCATTTCACGCGAGCTGCCTGATGAAGTGGGGCGACTCCACTTGCCCAGTGTGCCGCCATGTGCAGACCCCAGAGCTGGTGGAGGATTCCGTGTGCATGGAATGCGAGGGAACGGATTCGCTGTGGATCTGCCTGATATGCGGACATGTGGGCTGCGGGCGGTACCAGGGCGGCCATGCTGCGGCCCACTACCGAGCCACCAACCACACCTTTGCCATGCAGCTGGGCACCTCCAGCGTGTGGGACTATGCCGGCGACAACTTTGTACATCGTCTGTTCCAGAACAAGTCCGACGGCAAGCTGGTGGCCTCGCAAACGGAGAAGGACGAGCGCGAGGAGAAGATCGATTCTATGCAGATGGAGTTCACTTACCTGCTCACCTCGCAGCTGGACACCCAGCGGAAGTACTACGAGGAGCGAATGGAGCGGCTGGAACAAGAGTGGCAAAACTTCAAGGCGAACGCCAGGGAGGCCAAAACCGAGGTCTCTGAGCTCCAGCAGGTCCAGCAAACCATGCAAAAGGAGAAGCAGAATCTGGAGCGCAAACTCGCTCAGCACACAGCCAAGTAAGGGAGTATATTATTTTCTCAATTGCCTTTAAATTTATTGTATAACTTAGGCTCAAGGAGGTCCAGAAGCAACTGAACGAAGAGCGTGAGCTGTCCAAGGCCCTGCAGACCAACCAGAGTTCCTGGCACGGCAAGTACAAGGTCCTGGAGCAGCAGTATAATGAGTTCAAGCATACCCACGATGCCGAGGTGACCGATCTCAAGGAGCAGCTGCGCGATGTCATGTTCTTTTTGGACAATCAGCAGAAATTGGCCAACTCGGAGCTGGCTGGCGCCTCCATTACTGGGATTGGAGAAAAGGAGCCGGAACCCAGTTCTCGGCGCGGCAATCGTCGCAAGAAATAGATACGATCTTAAACACCATTTACACATCCATGTATTTTGATTCGAGTTGAACTGCTTGTCTATGAAACCCGAATTACATACGATTCAAAGCAGCTCTATATGTGATTTCCTTTGTGAAGCAAAAGCCCAAGGATACAGTATAACCTAGTTTACTACTCTACTCTTAAGCGAATTTAAAGGCTTCTGTCTAAAATGTATTGCGTTTGTAATTGAAGAAAATTAAACGTTTGTGATGAAACCTACGACTATTTCTATTTTCAAAAAGGAAAAGTAAGACTTGAAGCGTGGCTTTTTATAGATTTAACTTCTCACAATTTTGGCACATGTTTTTTAGTTGCAAGTCAAAAAATAAAACTCAATTGGAACTCAAATCAAATGCTCTACTTATCGGTTTCCAGACAAGCATCATCACAGCGGAAAATAGGGTCGGACAATTCCTGGGACTCCACAACAGGATCCGCCTGGAAGATGTCAAGCTTGGCCTTCATCTCCTGCTCGTTGCGATCCAAGTTCATCAAGTAGCCGGCAATGAAGGCGCGTGGATCCTGTGGCGAATGAAGATGAAGCTGAGCGAAGGCTCGAGTAAGCACTTCGCCCATCTGCTCCTTGATCTCGCCGGCCAGCCTATCGACTGCCTCCAGGTTCTTGCCCTGCGGCATCCAGTCGTACTCCTTGAGGCAGCAGCACTCACACTGGACCTTTGGATCGGACTCCTTCAGTAGCTTGAAGAAGGGCAACAACTCTGCCTCGCAGTTCTTCAGGTTGGCCACCTCCCGGACAAAGCGTTTGTGCAGCTCACACACATCCTTCTCGCAACCTCGGATCACTTCCGCGTCCTCGGATAGGGTTGCCGTTCGCTTTATGTAGTCCACTGTATTCTCGTGAAAGGACTTGAACTTGCACTTCTCCTCGTTGTAGGCATTTAGACACTGGCGAGCGTAGACAATTATATTGTCGCGCCGCTTCCGCATCTCCTCGCTGCGTCGGTTGAAGTGGGTCTTCACCTCATCCAGGCTGTTGATCCGCTGTGCAAACTGGGTCATGTCCTCAATGCTCTCACAAACTACGGGTCCCCTTCCCTTGTACTCCTTTCCACACTTAATATTCGCCTTGTTAATTCTGTCTATCTCAGCCTGCAGCTCCACTTTCATGTTGCGCAACTCCGTGTTCAGTCGCTTCACATCGTTGTCGTTACAGATCAGCGCCTGCAGCATCTCGTTCAGGCAGTTCTTGTGCGGATTGGGCAGCTCATCCGGGCAGGCGGTCAGCATTTTGAAATATTTCTTGGTTTTTTACTTGGGTAATGGGGTTTTTATAAGCTGAAGTCTCTTCTGTTACTGGCTTTAAATTAAATTAATTAAGGGGAGATTTTTTTGTCATGGTTTGCTGGGGTTTATGTTATGTTTTCTTAAATCCCAGAATCTGTCTTTTCTTGCAGGCTTCGTAAGAGCCAAGATACACTCAGTACTCTGAGAGAGACTACGACGGATAATATGAATTTTGGTAGGAGTAGCTTAATCCATAAGGGTTAAATCGACCACTTGGAACAAAAATAATAACCAGAGAATCCATGTAGGATAATCTATCAATTCGTAATCAAATCTTAAATCAAACTTCTAATGAATACGGTCCCTGTTTTACGGTCTTAAATTCTAGAAAGTTCATTAAAAATGCCACTTGTTTTATCTTTATAATTATATAGTTTTCTTTAAACTTTTTGTTTTAGTTAAACATACATACTGTTGTTTCTATTATCTATCACAATGAATATTTGTGTGTTCGCGTGTGAGTGTGTGTTGTTAGTGTGAGATGCGTGTCTTTGTCTTAGAATTTGGATCACGACGGTTAAGTGAAAACAATCAAATTGACTTATGCTAGCATTAAACTCGCCACGAACATAAGTGGAGTGTTAATTCTACTCCTTTTGCTTTCTGAACAAAGACAGTCTTTAACAATATATCCGCAGTTGCGTTCCCGAATTCGCTGATATTGCGATTTAAATGGTAGCTTGCTACTCGACATTTGGCCATTGATGAGCAAGTGTGTGCGTTGATGGGGGGGTATAGGGATGTAGGATGAAAATGGTGATGTGTAAACATAAAGAAGATTCTGTATCGGGTACATACATATGAATATACAAAAAGAAAATGACTAAGCACACAAGTCAGTGCGCCAAACATACATACAAATAATAACAAAATTATCACGCCTGCTCCCCCTTTCGAGTCCTACAAAGAAATATATATCGCAGAGAGCAGAGCCATACAACTTAGGCGTCGAAATTAAATTAAATTTAAATTGGTTAATTTAGGTTAAGGTAACAATATTTCAACGGAACCTGAACCCACTGAAGGCCCTAGTTGAAAGTGTTATAGCGCAGATTGCTATCGACATCGCCCACGTTGCCGGCAAAGCCCGGACTGGGCGGATCATCCGCCATGAGATCGGCACTGGACTGCGAGTGGCGGCGTTGTCCGGGCCACGACCACGCTTCGCGGATGCTGTCGAACAGGCGCTGAGGGAATGTCTTGTACTCCATGTCCACGGACTGTGTATCCCCGAAGTTGAAGTCGGCCACTTCAACCGTAAATCTGTGGAATAAAATTTGTATATAATATCATAAATCATTTTATTCAGCTCTCTTCTTACCGATTTCCCCGCTGTATGTAATAGGCCACACCGAAGACCACCAGGATTACGGCCACCAAAGTGCACGTAACTGGCACAACAACGACAGAAAGCTGAGACTGCCGCTGGGCTGTTGGTAAAACAATAATAAAACAGTAAATGGGCAGCTAGAGAGCGCGGATTCACGAAGTCTACCCACCTTCGTACATGTTAATGGTGACCTGATTGAGGGTCTGCGACACCTCGTTCCTTATAAAGAAGAGTATGGTCTTGCTTTCGCTGAAGTATCGCATGTACTCGTATGAGCAATTGACCATCGGATCGTACATCTCGCACGTCTCATTTCCGGTCGAATTGTACGGAGCTGTTGGGAATACATATTAGGGATTTCAGTCTCTGCCTTAAGAACCACCACTTACCCGTAAAGACTTTTGAGCAAAACTCAAACGGTGGCGATCCCTTGCAGTTGACTTCCAGGCTAAGCATTTCCCAGTGTTGGAGCCAGTTTTTGCCCTTCGTGTCCACGGCGGAGATGGGATCTGGCCACAAAACAAAATGGAATATTAGCAAAAATCAGATGATTCAATTGTTAAAAAGCATCACTCACCCCTGGTCACAATTCGGTGTTGGAAATAGCCGTAAATCTGCTTGGGATCCTGCGCAATGAACTTCTTACTCACGCAGTCAAAAGGAGGCTCGGTGCCGGGCAGCACATTGAGCTTGGACAGCCGGCGCACTCCCAGCGGATTGACCAGAGCCACAGACACATTTCCAGCCGACCCTTTTTGCTGCTTTAGCGCATTAGTCAGATTCAGGCCAAGGATAGCGGCATTAGTGTGCATGGCCTGGATTAAGTCACGTTTAGAACGTGGCGCTGGCTTCGGAGTGGTGCTGGTGGTGGTCGAAGTAGTCGTAGTAGTCGGAATAGTCGTAGTAGTCGGTTTAGGCGTTGTAGTTGTTGTGGTCGTAGTTGTAGTCGTGGTTGTAGTTGTGGTCGTAGTAGTGGTCGTAGTCGTGGTCGAGGGCGTCGGCTCTGGAGGCAACTCCAGCGAAGCCACAACTAGGGCCTCCACGTCATAGGATTGCTCAGCTTGCGGATATGTTGCTATATAATCCAGGTCACCGGACATGCCAAGATATGTGCAATTTTGGAACCAATACGTCTGGATGTGATAGCCCTTCGCGCGCAGAAACTCCAGATCGGAGGCGGACAGCGCTATGCTGTGATTCACTGCCTCCTGCGTGGACACAAAGTCGTGCGGCCTCGTCACATTCTTCTGAATTAGCTCCAGCCTGCCGCCCAGCGTGCTATCCAACTTAATTTTCTTCTCGCCCTTGGCCTCTGTAAGCCAAAGAATCGAATAGTACTTCTCGACTTCGACCTTGATGACATGAGTGGTCGGCTCTTGCTGGGCGAAAGTCAAACTCCAATTGCTGCTGGCGATACTTGTTTCCATCACCTGCGGGTAGATACAATTGCATTTGATAAGTGTCGTTGTTGGGGATTTTTTTTACATGCAAATATGAGCACAATAGGAGCTAGTTAAAGCCAGTGTCAGGAACGATTGGAAAAAACTGTCGCTGAATGGTAATTGTGTAAAATTAGCATACAAATCCAGTGCCGCCATATCAATTGAAGCCACATGGCTAAGATTAGAACGGGAAAGTGGAAGTGCGCATCGGTTAATCGGTGACTTGCACATTTAACTCTTGCTTGCTGTTTTTGCAAACATCAGGGTTACTCATAGGTTCTCTAAAGAAAAGTAAGTATCAATGTCGTTGAACTGGGTCTCATGCTTGTGGTTTTAAACTAGATCCAATCCGCCTTATCGCCCCGGCTTTTGAGGCATTAAAAGTCTTGCGTTGTGAAAGCTTTGCCCCGATATGAAAGTGATATCTTGGTCTGGAATTCCAGGAAGCATCTTCTCTGGACGGATATTCAAAGAAATTACTTCAATCTTCATTTTGCAAAGTTTTAAATAGGAATTCCAAAATTTCTAAATACTTAAACATAACTTTTAGGTAAGTCGACCGACTTGAAATGCGCCTCCTTTAGGTAGATGAACTACATCTACCAAATGCATCTGACCAGTTTTTAATAAGCCATTAAGGGGCGTGTACCGTCGCTTGCAGTTGCATTTTTTGCTCGCAATTAGTCACGTCACTCGACTCGAAGCTTTTATCTCTTGTCTGTGCACATTCTGTGACGTTACCTGTCGATGGCCAGCGCTGTCGGTCCAGGTGAACCTGTAGGAGCCCTTGGCGGCGGGTTCGCCCTTGTCCAAGAGCTGGGCGGACACATTGGCGGAGGACCCGAGGAGCGCGTGGTCGGGCGCCGTGATGAGGACCGAGTAACAGGTAACTGCAGTGGGAAATCGTTAGACGTGACTTTGGGGACTCCGAGCTTTATCGATTTCACCAACTTACCTGTCTGCAGAATAGCGCAGAGGACCAGCCACGCCGCCAGAGACATTTTCGCACTGCCGATTGGGTTTTCCCGTCGAGGCTTGTTATGGAAAATCACTTGGGGCTCCGCATCCAAATCCCACAAACAAAAGCTATCAAAACCAAAAACAAAGGTCCACTTTCACAGCGGCTACACCCACTGTCGTGGCTTATACTAGGTACGCTGAACACGGTTAATTGCTTTTGTTTATCTTGGAGCGCCGCTCGCCTTTAATTGTACTGCATTTGCGTTTTTCTATTGCGTTTTTATTTATTTTATTTTTCTTGTTCTAACTTGGTGTGGTCGAATTATTTTTTCGCTCAGAACGTCCTAGCGCCTCGGGTTTCTCCATAAAAAATGTCAAACACATCCGGTTTCGCGGCTTCTGGGCACACTAAAACACAAAAAGCTAAATTTAGCTATATAGCTAAATAGCCAGCTATAAACTATCGACATATCGATATATATAGCTAATAGCGATAACCCTGCGATATCGAAATTCAAATTTGAATTAAAACCTGAAAACCGTTAGTAAAATCAAAACAACCCACGTTCATTTCTCAAAAGTTTATTTATAAAAAATGCTTGTTAATGGTGGTAAAATCAAAGGGGAAATCATCGTATAGCTAGTTATAATTGACAAATTAATTGATTAATAACATATTAAGCATGGAAACATTTTACATTACATATCCATTAAGTGTTGAATTATCTGTTTTATAGGCTATATAAAAAGAGTCAAAGTTGAAGTTTTCTTTTGTTTCATTTGTTCATTTCCGTTTTTGATCAATTTGAAATGTTCGTTTCTGCAGAGTTTCAACAAAGTAAAGCTACTAAACTTAAATCACAGATAACACTAAAGTGTTTGTTACGATATATGCATTTATATATATGTGTCTGTTTCTATATATATGTATATATATGTCACTATATATGTGTGAGTGTGTGTGTTTGCTGAAGGCCTTTTGCCTTTCCTCCTCGTATGATTATGATTCCTTTGTGTGGAAATCATAGAACGCATAACTGACTTAAGGTTAGGTTAGAAAACCGCTAAAACTAACAAAATTGTGTGTTGTCTGTGTGTGTGTGTGGTCGCATTCGATCTCAGCAATTAAATGCAACAATTGGCTTAAGTACTACGAAACAAGGAGGCTGGAGTCCTGATTCGGGTTGGGACTTTAGTATTGTATGTGATCCAATTGTTTCCACTTTCCCCTTCTATTCCCTCTTCCACTTCCACCTTTCCTTCCGCTGTCAATGGCACACGTTTTGCGTAACGCGAATGGCAAAAACGAATCCTTAAAGGCTTAAAGGCTCGGCTTCCGATTCATTTAAGGATTAAAAGGCAAATAAACGCTTCTAAGTTCCAGCTACATATCTAAAATTAAGTTGAAGCCTTTTAAGATTAAATTAAGAAAGGATTATATGGATCCTTGGTCGGATTAGAGTCTTAAGTACTTTGTATAAATATAATTTTAATCGGAAACCGTGCCCTTATGCTCTCTCCTCTCCGCCTGTCTGTCTGGATGATCCTGTGTATGAAGCCCTCTCCCTAGACATGCACCTCCGGGCAGTCCTCGTCCTTGATCGATGTGTACTGCACCTTCTTGGCCACATTGTCGAACACCGGCGTGATCATGTACTTCAACTTGTCGCGACTAACGTAGACGAGCGCCACCAGCAGGCCCAGCAGGATCATGCTGAGGACGATTAGCAGGAAGATCAGCGTGGCCGTGTGTCCATTGAGGTGTGCCTGAGAGTGCGCCGACGCCTCCGCTCCGCCGTAACGCTGCTCGTCCTCGGCGGCATTCAGGATGGTGGCGGCGGCAGCCATGGCGTCCGCACACTGGCCCATGTCCAGCTGGAGCAGGTGGGCGGGCGAAGAGTCCACGCGACCCGGCGAATGGAAGCACATGAGGCTGTCCTTGTTGCGGACAGTCACCCGGGTGAGGGGAATCCACGTGCGAAAGGGGGCAATGCGGCAGTCGCAAACGAAGGGGTTGAGGTTAAAGTCCACGATCAGATTGGCCGTGCGGTTGGGGCGATCCTCCAGCTCGTTGAGCACCCGCAGGTCGGTGGGCTTCACGAAGCCGAACTTGTTGCGTTCCAGGTCAAGGAAGCGCAAATTGTTGAGGCAGCGGACCTCGAAGTTGAGGTCACGCAGCTCATTGTCGCCCAGATGGAGGTCGCGCAGCGAAGGCAGATCGCAGAAGACGTTGCGGTCCTTGAAGTGCGTGATCTCGTTCTGTTCCAGATGGAGCTTCTGCAGCTTCAGCAGCTGGCTGTTCACGAAGATGTCATGCAGATCCTCGCTCAGCTGGGGGGAGCTGTTGTCCTCGAAGGCGTCGGTGAGGTGCAGGCTCTGGAGGTTCACAAAGTTCGAGAAGACGCGCGGATGATGGTGATTGACCTCGTCGTCATACCGCGAAATGCTCAAATTGTTGTGATTCAGGATCAGGCGCTCCACACGCGGCACATGGTGATAGCTCTTGCCGCGTATCTCCCTGATGTGGTTGCTGCTCATGTCCACAATGCGCAGCTGCTTGTAGTCATTGATGCTGCCGAAGACATTCCAGGGCAGCTCGGTGATCCGGTTGCCAGTGAAGATCAGGACCTCCACCTGCTCGGGCATAAACTCCAGGACGCTGGTATTATGCAGACCGGCATTTGTGCAGTTCACCACGTACTGCATCTCGCTTTCGTACATCTCCTTGCCGCAGCTGCAAGCTGCCGGGAAATTGGGTCCGCAGCTGGAAGAGCTCTCGCCCAGGACTCCTCCGCCGCCAAGTGCCAGGCTAAAGGTGGCAATAACGGCGGCCAAAGCCAGTCTCCTCAGTTCGGTGGGTGGCATCTCTCTGTGATGGGTTGACTGCCTGCAAATAATTTAAAAATAAATTCAATTTTGTTAATTCATTTATTTTACAATAAATAAATACTTTTATATATATTTAATATTTCATTTATATAGCTAAAAAGTTTTGAATAATTATCTGACAATTTCAAACCAAAATACAGATTATTATTTCTGACTGTGCAGGAGAAACACATGCTTTATGAGTTGCAAATGCATTTTAAAGTGGCAAACAGGCCGCCGACCCCCCCGCGAAATTTATTTAGCTTCCCCGACTAACCGTAGCCTCGGTTAGCTTCCGGCTCCTCCTAGCCTTCTTGCCTCCAAAATGGACAGCTTATTTATGCTCCACAAGTTGCAGATTTATGTGCTTATAAAACATCGAAGCATACACATACACACACACACACACACACCTCAACGGGACGCGTTCTTCCGCGCCCATCTCAATCATCGGCCCACGCGGCGTATGGGTAATTTCTGTTTAGTGCCAAACTTTTCGGCGCTGGGACCACAACAAACGCCTGAAGGGCACTCCGGCGTGCACGGAGTCATCCAACCGCAACAGGAGGAGCCCGGAGCCGTAAACCTGATTATTTTTCGGTTTTTATTTCCGTTTGTTTAGTGCGCTCCGCCGGAGTGTGTGTGTGTGTGTGTGTTTATGAGTGGAGAGTTTATAGTAGAGAGAAAGCCGGTAGCTTTAATTTCGTCCATACTTATGCGTTTTGATTTTATTTTTAAGATATGTGTAAACCGAAAATTGTTGCAATCTGTCGGGTAACTTGAGCGCAACACACTTCTAATTTGATTAACATATAATTAAATTTTGGTTGACCACATTTTGGGTTTCAATTGGCAATAAACAATGAATAATGTACGAATGTGTATGCACAAATATTAAGCGAATATTCAAAATACATTTCTGTTTACACAAATCAATTTGTGGAATCAATTAGTATCGTTTACGGGTTCAACTGCGTAAACAATATTCCAAAATGTATAACTCCAAGCAGAGGTAACTCTATTGTTTGAAAATACCAAACAGTTCTCGTTTGAATCAAGAGCCATATCGCATCCTTTCATTTGTATGGGTTCAGACATGGCTCTCGTGTCCTGGCTGCTGGCGTGGAGGCGACTGGCTAAGGGTCACTCGTTGCTAATGAGCGCATCAAATTCCCGTCCGGGGAAAATTGAAAACTAACGGCCCTTTTAATGGGCCCACCAGGAAGCCCTCGACGCATTCGAAACGCACTCCACCCTTTGCCACACTCTGCTTCTGGAGGCCACTCAATTACCTCCCGACTGGACGACTGGCAATTATGTTGTCTGCCTTTCGAGTGTGTTTACAGGCTGGTTATCAGAGTTTTGCAAATTCAATTTAAAATTGTGAAATATTTATCCACCATAAATCAGAAAATATTTACCAAATATTACATGATGTGTGGAGTAAATAATTATGATTAGTGGTTTTGATGGTTGGATAAATGCTTTGCTCCTCTTCTTGGCCCCGGTAAGGTGCTATAAGCGCAAAGCAAAAGCTGGCTCTGTGCACACGAGCAGTCACTTCCGGTTTGTCGGACTAACAAGCAGAAACGCTTTTTACCTCCGCAGTTTTACTTTAATTTCAACTTTTATGTCTTTGTTATTGTTTGCTTTGTGTGTTTACTGTTGCAATAACATACACCTACAACTCCCAGCAGCCCCTCGTACCACCCATTGCCAGCCCCCCTTTGTTCTGCGCCCGTGGAAATTTCTCTGCAATAATAAGGCAAACAAACAGCATTTGTTCCTTCTTTACTGCACTCGCTTCGCTTCTCGCTGGAATTTATGCATGCGCGTAAAATAATAATAATATAAACAACAAAAAAAGAATGAGAAAGAACACAAACAAATAGCAACAATAACAACATTTTTGTAATATGTATGTATATGTGTATGTATGAAGCGAGGTTAAAATAATAACAGTTGAGCATTTTGGTGTCTTTATACCCTAACTCGAAGTTATAATGGGTTTGAGAATGAAGAAGTGTTTGTAAAATAAGTAAGAGAAGTGATTAATATATTTCTACTATTTTTTTTAGTTAAATAAATATGAAATGATTCAAATTATTGCCTAAAGGAAACTGATGTTTTACATTTTTTAACTTTTAATAATATTTTATAAAATAAAGTATCTTATCTAGTTATCATGTATTATATATGTATATTCTTTATTTATAAAGGATTTGTAGTAACGAGTATCCTTTTAATAGAGATCTAATCACACTTCAACACACATTTTCTTAAATACCAAACAAACCCTGTATTAGGGTATTCACATTTTCGTTATCCAATTACAATTATTTTTCACCTTGTTTGTTAATATTTTTGCGTGCTCTGTGTGTGCTTAGCATTCGCACAACTCCCGCTCTAATTCTCGCCCGGTGGTTCCTCTTTTCTTTTAATTCGTTAGTGGTGAAGTGCCAGCCACTTGGCAGTTGCAATGCAAAGGAGAACGAGCACCAGGACGATGACGCTGACGATGCACAGTGGTCGAGCTTGTATGGAGCCGCGGCCATAAATACTTCTAGATGTGCTATCGCTATGAAACTTTCACCAAAAATCTAGAAAAATGTTTTAAGTATATCCACAAAAAATTGGCCATATTGCTCGACTATATCATATAGCTGCCATAGGAACAATCTGTTAAAAATCCATACTTAATATGAAAAACTTTTTTGTTTTTCAAGATATCTTAACCAATTTCACAGATTATATGTTTGGTACAGGTTCATGCATTCCTACCAAATTTGGTTAAAATCGGATCTCTATATCTTATAGCTCCCATACAACATTTTTATAAAACTATTTTTTTCCAAGACCTAACTTTAATTTTTTAGTTTTTGATCTCTTAATGAGAACGTTGGTGAAATATAAGTGCCCAAAAGTAAAAAAAAAAATTATGCACTTATATATTGTGTGTTTATTTTGTCCAGCAACAAACTTACACAGCTTAAGGGGGGTAAGGTTAATTGGATGCAAAACTCACTACTTTTCAAAAAAATGTTGTGGCGAAACGGCTAAAATTAGCTTAATGAGTTAAATACCATATAATAACACAACATTTGAGCAATTTTTTTTTAATTTTTGTATTAAAAAATATTTACATGCTTACGAGTAATAGCGAATCTCCTGAGTCCCCACAAAAAAAGTTTATTTTCGGTGTACATCCTATCCTAGCTGTCCACAAAAACATCAGATATCAAAAAAATGTATTGTATTCACTAAAGGATAAGTGCTCCGAGGTACTCAGGTGACGTTTTTATTTTTAAAATTTTTTCCCGATTTTCTATTACAACCCGGATTATTGGCTAAAAAATTAGGGTAATTTGTTTTGTAATGGCAAATTTGCAGCCGCAGGTAGCCGCAGCTAAAGTAAACATTTTTATAATCTTTAAATATCAGTTAATGACGGCACATAAATTTCATTTGGGGGCAACGGGGGAAACTACTTAAAACTTTACGTAAACCCAACATTTACGAACTAAAAAGACGCACTTTTTTAACAAAGATTTACACGAAACACAACACAAATTATATATATATTTTTCTGTACAAATAAAGTATATACCTTTATCTACCATATCCAGTCCAATTTTTTTTGGTTCAACAGCGTTTTATATTATAGTTTACATTTTTAAATTTGGTCTGTGCACTCCACTGCTGACAAATTAAAAGTGCATGAATACAAAAACGCTTTTGTCAATCTATTTTCAGAAAGTCCCGTTAGAAATTCCAAGTAGACCGTATTGCATGGTAAACTTTGGACAATCAGCTGATAGAAAAACCATGTTTCGCTTGAATAGCTCAAAATCAATTTTTTTATTTTTGGCCTATGGGCCCGACCACTGTGCGATGGCGACGTGGAGGAGCAGGTGGAGCAGGAGTGGGAAAAATTGGAGGGAGCATGTGCAAGAGCAAAATGGCGAAATATGGAAACGGAATTAAAGGTGGCCACTCAATTTGTAATGCACGATGAGGGTGTGTGTGGTGCTGTGTGTGTGTGACTTACCCACTTTGTGTGTGGTCTAATTAGAGTACAACTGTACAGGATAATACCGAGAGGGATAGTAAAAGAGGGGGCACACCCCACAGATAAGGCACGTCTATAAAGCTGCACTTCAGTAATGTTAACTAATGACAGCCAATTAAGTTAACTTCCGACTACCCCGCGCCATTTGCCTTTATCACTGACATTTTACATTCGATAAACACCAATTTGCCATATGAATATTGGCAATGCGCTCAGGTTTAAATGTGAATTTCGAGTGGGTGTTGGTAACAGTAAAACGTGTTGAATTGTTATATTTATGGAATGATTAAGTATGCCTTTATGTTAGCTTTAAGATATGAAATGTATTTCAAAAGTCAGAGGTTAGAGGAATTATATTTCGCTGTTTGCATTCTCTATCTTGTTCATTTTCTCGGCTTCACTCGTAGTATGAAGAGTCCTTTAGGAGTCATTCTTAACGTGTTGTCTTTACTCGTTCTTTTTAGCCGTCGTCTTCAAACGTAGTCTTTACTTGCTGACTTTACTCGTTGTTTTTACACGTCTTTTTTAATCATTGTCCAACTTAAATCCTTCCTAAGCTTATCTTTAAATACTTTAAGAATTCACCTTGTGAAACATCATTAATAATTTGGTTTCTATAACTTAAATCTTGTCAACCAAAACTGCAGCACTGCAGATAACATCAAAAATTCCATTTTTCCCAGCAAACCTGAACTTAGCATTTGCATTACCTGCAACCACCTACCCGGTGTTGTCTCAATTTTCTCATCGTTTTGCTAAAGCTTCTCATTAAATAAACCCCCGGCTCCGCTCAGGATGCGCTTAAAATTGTTGAGCAGATGTCTCCATTATCGCTGTGCTCCTCAATCGGATGCTGTGGCCAAGGCTCTTAGCATTTCTCCATGCCGCCCCCCACTCTGCGTGGGTGGTGGTGGTGGTGATGGCATCGTCCTTGGGAGTTTCGCCAGTCA